TTATAAATTATTTACGAAATAATTTAATCTTTCGCTCCGACGAAGGGCTAACGCTCGAAACGTCAGCTTTTGTAATCGTTACGGTGGCCAATTTACCACTTCAACTTTGTTGATATATCCAAATTATTGCAGTTTTTCAGACAGGGTATGTAGATATGAATTATCATTCATATCTACATACCCTGTCTGAAAAACTGCAATAACCAGCATCAATTCGCTTCTTAGTTACCCCTATAAGAGCCTTAAACTTTTCAAACATTTACAGAGAGCAGGGATGGCGCAGTGGTGAGAGCACTCGCCTTCCACAACTGTGGCCCGGGTTCGACTCCCGGACATAGCGTCACATGTGGGTTGAGTTTGTTGTTGGTTCTCGTCCTCCGAGGGTTTTTCTCCGGGTCCCCCGGTATTCCTCCCTCCACAAAAAACCAACATTCCAAATTCCAATTCGATCTGGAAACAGTGGATAAGAAGAGCCACCCAGTGGAATGTCCATTGCTAAATTATTATTGTTTTATTATTATTATTATTATTATTATTATTATTATTATTATCATTATATAAGAAACTATCGTTCCCTGAACAGATAGACTAATTCATTTGTGCACGATCCTCGCACAATTTCATATATTCGTTGTGTTAGATAGACTAATTGTCATGTTCGTTTCAACGAATAGCGTATCAGATTAACTATATTTACACGTCTAGTTTTGTCCTGAAAGCACTTCTGTTAAAAAAAACACTTAGTTACACGCAGATTTCCTTCATTATGATTATTTGCCTTATCTCTGGTCAGGTCCTAAAATATGTTTTACAGAGACACAAGGTTGTAAATGCTCTTTCGCAAACTGCTTCACTGAACTACGACATGTCACTTGAGGAAATTAACAACGGAATTGCACCACCAAGGGTTTTCTTACTTACAAGAACATTCATTAGGGTTTTACATTAAATTCATCCACGCTTACATCTAAAACTTTATGTTACAAATTTTTCGTTGTTTGTCTCCCCCAAACTGTCGTGATAAGAATATCATTAAGAAATTACGCAGTATTTTCTCCGTTCGTGACGTTCCCTGCCGCGTTGCAGGCCGTCCAAGGCAGACTGCAAATTACGTAACTGATTGCGAGTACGCTGGGCATCAACATGCTCGGGACCAAGCTTTTTCTGTCGAATGTTTAGAGCACGTTCACAACACTCCTTGGCCCGATGCAGATCACCCAAGTCACGCTGCACATTACTCAGACTTGAGTAAGTAGGTGCGACATCAACATGCTCGGGTCCAAGCTTTTTCAACTTAATTTCTAGAGCACGTTCATAAAAAGCCTTGGCCTGTTGAAGGTCATCTAAGTCATACTGCACATTACCCAGGTTATGGTAAATATACGCGACATCAACATGCTTGTGTCCAAAGTTTTTCAAAAGAATGTTCAGAGCACGTTCATAATAATCCTTGGCCTCTTGCAAGTCACCCAATTTCCAATGTACATCAGCCAAGTTGGAGTAAGTAACTGCGACATCGACGTGCTCGGGTCCAAGCTTTTTCATTTCAATATTTAGGGCAAGTTCACAATAATGCTTGGCCTGGGGCAGGTCACCCAAGTTACGCTGTACTTTAGCCAAGCCAGAGTAAGTACGCGCGACATTCACATGTTGGGGTCCAGGCTTTTTCAACCAAATTTGTAGAGCTTTTTCATAATACTCCTTGGCCTGTTGGAAGTTTCCCAATTTACTTTGCACTGTACCCATGGTAGTAAATGAAACCGCCACAAAAATGTGATCCTGGCCGAGGTTCTCCACCTGGATGTTCAAAGTACGATTGTAAAACTCCATGGCCTGATTCAAGTCACCTGACTCGAACTGTACATTTCCTAGATGAAGGTATGTATTAACCAGATCAACATGCTCGGGTCCGAGATGTTTTAGCTGAATGTCCAGAGCACGTTCATGATTCTTCTTGGCATTTTGCAGGTCACCCATTCTGCGCTGAACAAGACCTAAGCAATTATAGGTATTTACCAGGTCAACATGTTCGGGTCCAAGCTCTTTTTGCTTGATTTTTAAAGCACGTTGAGAATTCTCTTTTGCATGTTGTAGTTCACCCATTTTCAGAAGGATCATGCCTAATAGGCTACATATATCAGCATGATCTACACCGACGAAGCCTTCATTCATTTCGACCACTTTCAAAGCTGAGTCGCAAAAACGTTTTGCGCTCACAAATTCGTGGTGATTCCAGCAGATTTCTCCTAGTCTTCTGAAATATTTCACCGCTCTGGAATCTTTGGAAAAACCCTCCTTGAAAACTTGAAATTTATCTTTGTGAAGGAAAACATTTTCAACTTCTACAGCAAACAAGTTCAAATGTGGAATGAGATGCTTACTGTCACTTTTAGAGTCTAAGTCGTACCAAGTGCGTGGAAGGCGAGTGTCTAAGAATTGGTTGAATGACTTTACAGCTAGTGTAACAATTTGAACGTGTTCATCAGGTCCCCGACAGTCGATGATCACAGATTTGCTGACTTCATGCACAACTTGATGCACTTTAACAAAGACTCCATTTTGTCTTTCTTCGAACATAAGAAGTGAGTAACCTTGGATCTGAAGAGCAACTTCTTCTCTCTCCAAATGTTTCTCTTCACTCAAAATGTAATTCGTAACGATGTCCAGATGCAAGGGTTCAGGTGAACAAAACGAGAAGAAAGTAAAGGTGCTTTTCACAACACTATCATCGTTGATAACTCCTTCAATGGCCATCCTTGTTGCCACAGTCATGGATTTTCTGTAGCTCTGATTAGTTTGTGTGAGTTCTTTTTCAGTAAGGGTTCGCAAACCTTTGTTAAGCTTTCCTAAATACTCCTTCCATCCGAAGTTTCTATCAATTTTACTCTCACGAATCTTTTTGACGTACACACCTGCACTGGCCAACGCGAGGGGCTGGTAATCTAATGCCTTCGCGACTTTATCTTCAACTCCTTGTTGTCTGATCCCAGAGACCTTTGCTAAAAAGCAACAGGCATCTGTGGGCGCCATGCCCACACTCACTGAGATGTGAGAGGCAAAGGAGCTTTCAGAGGGGATAGATGAAGTGTTCTGTGTTGTTATAAGCAACTGGCCTTT